ATGCACCCCATCCACACGATAACAAAGCTCATTGAAGTATCGCGAGAGTACAAAGGACCACTGTGTCTCACTTTCATCGATTTACAGAAGGCCTTCGGTTCAGTTGAGATAGAAGCAGTCTTGGAGGCCCTTGATAGTCAAGGAGTCTCTACTCAGTACATAAAGATTCTTCGTGAGGTGTACAAAAATTTCACAACCAAGGTATCACGATTCTACACCCACATTAACATTGAAGTCAAAAGAAGAGTCAGGCAAGGCGATGCCATCTCACCAAAATCCACCAAAAATTTTCCGCCACCCTCCAGAAAGTCATGCGAACATTGGAATGGGATAATATGGGAGAATCGATGGTCGGCAGTTATGCCATCTTCGCTTTGCTGATGGCATCGTCCTTATAAGACCAAACATCAGCCAAGCGGAACGTTTGCTTGACGACTTTGATAAAGCCTGTGGAAGGATTGGTCTTCAACTAAATCTCACAAAAACGATGTTCATGAAGAACGGATTGGTTTCGCATGCCCCATTCACGGCCAACGGAACGAATATCACCGAATGCTCCAGTTATATCTATCTAGGTCTGTAAATCAATATGATGAACGACTTAGTTCCAAAGCTGAGCAGAAGGAAACGAGCAGCTTGGGGAGCTTTCAAGAGCACCGAGGATGTAGTGAAGAGAACAAAGAACACCCGACTCCGTGCCCACTTTTGCGACTCAACGGTTCTTCCTGCCCTAACGTATACGTCAAAAACTTGGTCGCTGCGTAAGCAGGAGGAAAGGTCACTCAGCGGTATCGAACGCGCTGTCGAAAGGGCGATTCTAGGAGTAACCCGTTCCACACAAGTAACGGATGGGATCCGAAGCTCCGATCTGCGTCAACGATCAAAAATCAAAGATGCCGTTCTGTACGCCAAACAGTCGAAGATAAGGTGGGCTGAACACGTAATGCGTATGAATGACAACCGATATGGACAGGAGCCATTAGTGACTGTATTCCTTGGGATGTCAAACATACTGCAGGAAGACCACCGACCCGATAGTCAGAGTTCTTCACAAAAAGCCTTGAAGAGCGATATGGCGCTCGACGAGTTCCTAGAACGAGCAGAACCCATTGGGCTACTCTTGCACGCGACAGGGAAAAATGGAAGATTTACTGGCGACCGCTCGAGTTACTCGACGATCAACGGGTCTACATGTGATACAGGTTAGGTCTCGGCTAACACTATTGATAGTCGTTATATATGCCAGATATACGTTCGGTCACCTCTACGATGCTACCAATGGAATCGAATGCATAGCGCATTTCTCAGGTATCGTTCAGCTTCAAAAGCTTTTTCCTCCTTTGTCATTTTATGACATCATTTCTTGAATTATACTGATACCCGCCTTTCAACATGAATTAAAATCCTTACGAAAAATAGGCGATAATCCTATCATATGTAGAATCCAAAGAACTTCTTTAAGGTATAATTCTTGATGATGACGTGGTCAGGTCCTTGACGACGAGGTGCCATAAATGGAACTTTGACGTCATTTATCCTATTTGGGGAAACAACGGATAACACACACTTAAAGCGTGAGACAACTCAGATGTTCATAGAGCTCTCAACAAAAGTTCACTTCATAACTCGAAAAACCGACTTTCTATAAACCTCGGCATAGATAGTTGATATATTTATTTATGTGACCTTATAAACTGATCTTCTTAAGCTGACGCGAGGTTGGTACAGATCTTCGTTGTCGTTGTTGTTGTTTTTGATGCTGTTGGTCGATGGCTGACGTCTTGGCGACATCGCCTTCCTCAGAGCCTGGACGTATTTTACATTAGAATATTTATTATTCGGTGGAAAAAAAGGTGTTAGTGAAGATCAAACTTTCAAACAGACGCCATATTGAACAGAAAGGCCACTCACCGTGATGTTACGTGTGGGACTGGCCCACATGTAGTTCACGTGGAGTCGCGAGCAAGACACCCCCGGGGTCAAAATACCATTTTGAAATAGGGCGCCAGGTCACGCGTGATAGTGAGGCATTCGTCCTTCCGGTTCATCTTTGGTTTTTTCAAATTTATTCAAAACGCCTCAAGAGTTTTGCGCGTTGATGTTTTTGATTCCTGCGCTAGGATCTGCACATTCACTTCAAAATCATCGCCGTTGTGCATTTGTGCCCTATGCGTACCTAGAGGGGTGTTTAAACGGATTTTAGCTTTCCCATCTAGATGTTCTTTTATGCGGACACAAAGTGGTCTACCCGTTTCCCCGATATATTCCTCGCCGCATGCATTACATGAGATCAAGTATATTATACCTAAACTCATGCAATCCCTGTCTCTCCAGTTAGGACAGATCATACAGGTTTCTGAGCTGCACAAACGATCATGGAGACGGTTGCGAACTAACTAGCGGCGTAGGGAATTGGGTGGGATGTCAATAATCGTTACATAATTTTCAAGACCACTTTTCCTTAAGCACTTTTTAATGGCATGACTTACTTCATTTGATCTGAAGGGTGGCTTAAAGAGGACCCTACTTTCGTCTGAAATATTATTTTGGGAAACTACCCAACGTTCTCCTCTAACCCGAGTGGCTTCTACTTCGTAGCCATTGGAAATGGCAATTTTTCGTGCCAGGTTTCGCGATTCCTTCCTTTCCTCTTCTCCTGTACACACATTTTTAGCCGTACGATATATATTTTTGATAAGTGCTTTTTTCATGTGTGAAGGATGAGAGGAGAGGCAGTGGACTAGAGTGTTTTTACCACTTGGCTTGCGATACCATTTTGTTAAATAGCCACTTACTGAGAGCTTTATTTGGATGTTTAAGAATGGAAGCCAGTTCTCGGTTGGTTTTTCTCGTGTAAATTTTATATACTCTGACTGTCAGTTTAATAATTCAAAGCACTCATCCATCTGTTCTTGTGTGGAACAGACGATGAAGCAGTCGTCTATGTATCGACAGTAGAGTAAGGGTCGGTGGTCGAAAACTGGAGCTTCCACCTTAGACATGAAAGCGATGGCAAGGCTTGGTGCTAAACGCTGCCCCATCGCAACCCTCTAATTTGTGCAAAATATTTTCCAGACCACCTAAAGATTGAACAACTAAGACACTGTTTTAAGAGAGTCAGTAGTTGCGCAATCAACAAGCCGTGCATTTTTATTTTCTTTTCTTGCTCTACGAGCAACTCGAGAATGGCTTGCATTACGAAGTCATTNCAAAATATTTTCCAGACCACCTAAAGATTGAACAACTAAGACACTGTTTTAAGAGAGTCAGTAGTTGCGCAATCAACAAGCCGTGCACTTTTATTTTCTTTTCATGCTCTACGGGCAACTCGAGAATGGCTTGCATTGCGGAGTCATAGGACAAGTTGGTATAAAGTGAACTAACATCGAATGACTCCATTATATGCGTGCCGTTTGGTTGCGCGCGCCTTAGGTGATCCCGAAATATTTTGGTGTTGGGTAGATGGGTTAGAATGAATTTCGGCAGCTGGGTTAGGATAAGGTTTAGGAACCACGTTATTCTATCCGTTGACCCGCCTATACAACTGATGATAGGTCTAACTTTATATGATGATGGGTTCGTTGACGTAATATCATCAGTTGAAGTAAGCTTATGTGTTTTAATAAGCAAGTAAAGGACAGGGCAAATCGGGTATTCGTTTTTAAGTCGAGAAATAACTGAAGGTTCTAAACCCGTGGCCTTTGCCGTGTTGAGCCATTCTTGATTTAATTTTCGGTATTAATTTCTGTATTGCTTTTCAGAGGGTGTTCGATAGAGAGTAACATCACTGAGGTGCTTCTCTGTTATCCTAATATCCAACTGACTAAGAAGAACTACAAATTCTCCGCCTTCATCACTAATAAAAAGTCTAACAGATTTTGAATTCAAAAACTCTCTAACCTGGCGCATACCACATTTTTGTTGGTTTGTGAGGTTGGAGCTTCTTTTTCGTTTTTGGTAGTGATTAAGTATGCGGAGAATTTTGTCCGAAAATAAACGAAATGTAGGGTCAATATCGCTATTGCTTAAAGAAAGTTTGGGGAAAGGGTATTGGTGGTAGTTCTCCCCTTCTCCCCTTTACCTAACCAAACTCGGACCCAATTCTAACAAGGAACGCACATTTTCTGGAAGCGTTATGCCTCCTAGCACAGTAACTCTGGATGTTCTTGGTGCGCAGTCTATTTTAGGGCTTTTACTTGGGACTTGACCAGCGGTGGTCCTTTCATTTGACCTTTTTGAGCGGCGTGATAGATCTTCAAACTTTTTCCTTAACTTGCTCTTAATATCACACCGAATCTTTCTGCATACCGATTTAGACCCAGCTACTATTCTCTTCCAAAGATTTCTCTTCAAATGCTGAGCACAATGGTTTTTTTTGTGCACACATTTGTTTAATAGTGAAAACATTTCGTTTTGTGTGCACCGCAATGAAATGCGTAGCAGTTTTACTTCGATGCTCAGAATTTGTTAAGGGCTCTCCGGTATGCCACATGCTTCGTATAGGAATAATTCGATTTTTTAAGCAGCGGCGTAGAAAGTGGGTCTTTTACCGTATTAAGACGATTTTCTGTCTTAATGAGAATACGTCCCTTACAAGTCGGAAATGTTTTGCTGAAACATCTCTTAATAACTCGAAAGACCGAGTTTCTATAAACCTCGGCATAGATAGTTGATACATTTATTTATGTGATCTTATAAACTGATCCGAAAAAAAAATAAAAATTCACTTCATCTTTTTGTACTACATAATCGTATATCAGAGAATGCTACGTAACAATTGGGGACGAGTAACAAACAGGGATTCGGAGGAATAGGCAGTTTTTCAACCTTTCCAAGGATTTATTTATTTATAAGCTTCACCTTTAAAATTAAGCATGCTCGACTCTTGTATTCGTTCTCTTTTCACTTTCCTTTTCTTACATCGACACATTGACATCCGCCCAATGTTTTTCCGGATTTCTGTTTCACATTTCTCAGAGAGTCATCGCTTCCGGAGCAGAATGTCAGCAGCGGTCCTCGTCACAGCACTGCGATTCTGTCGGGAGAACACCTTGCTGGTTATGACAATCGTTTCGGTGATACTTGGCGTCTCACTAGGATTCGGTCTTCGTCCGTTGTCTCTATCGGCCGAAACACTTCAACTCATCAACTTTCCAGGCGAAGTATTCATGCAAGTCCTTAAAATGATGATATTACCGCTGATATTCTCGTCACTTATCTCTGGTAAATACAAAAATATTTTATTACTACGTTACTATACTATTTTGTTACTTCGATGTTTTTCTTCAATAAGCAGACACGAAGTTGTTATTATAGAATTTATTAGGATACAATAGCTGACGTTTCGACGGTTTCGCCTTCTTCAGAGCCCGGAAAGGTCAAATTGAGATGCGATCTACCCAGCCAAACACTTTCGTAACCCTAGCAGCTAAAACTTTACAAATAAATTTGTATTCGCATAAGAAACAGTTTCATTTAAACACCCACCGTCTATTTGTTGTATTTTAGTTGGTGGATAGCAGCCGCACAGAGTAATACATGGGCGATAACTGTGTCTGTGTCAGGTCATGGGATTAGCCTGAGGTATGGCGCTAGGTCACGCGTGATGACAAGACACTCCTCCTTGCGGTTCATTTTTGAATTTTTGGCATTGATCCAAAACGCTTCAAGAGTTTTACGCGCTGATGCTTTCGATTCCTGCGTGAGGATGGTGACTCCTACTTCAAAATCTTCTCCGTTGTGTCCCTGCATCCTAGGCGCGCCTAGTCGAGTGTTTTGTTTTATTTAGATTTACCGACTAGGTGTTCTGTAATGCGGACGCAAAGCGTTCAACCCGTTTCGCCAACGTATTCGTGCCCGCACATTTTACAAGAGATCAGATAGACTGTACCCGAACTCATGCAATCACCGTCTCTACCATTTGGGCAAATTATGCAGTTCTTTGTTGTACATAGACGGTCGTATAGGCGGTTGCGAACTAGCTGGCGTCTTAAAGTGTCCGGTGGTATTTCTACCACTCTTACGGAATTCCCTAGACCGGCCCTTATTAAGCAACGTTTTATGGCTGCACTTACTTCGTTTCAAATAAAGGGCAAAAGGAACGGAGCCTTGTTTTCGCTAGAATTTTCGCTCTGGGGCTTGGGATTTCCTCGATGCCTATGCCGAGAAGCAGCAGTTTCGTAACCATTTGAAATGGCTATTTGGCACGCCAGTTTCGAGGATTCTTCCTTCTGCTCTCTCTCTACCTGTGCAACCGCTGGCGACGGTTCGAAACATATTTCTTATAAGCGCCCTTTTAGTGTGTGAGCGCTGAGAGCAGAGGTAATGAACCACTATATTCTTACTGCTTGGCTTTCGATACCATTTTGTGATGTAGCCGTTTTCGGATAGTTTGATTTGAACGTTTAGAAATGGAAGCCAGTTTTCTTTCGGTTTCTCACGGGTGAATTTTATGTACTTCGACTGTTCGTTCAATAACTCAAAGCATTTGTCCATCTCCTCTTGTGTGGAGCAGATGACAAAACAATCTATATACCTACACTAGAGTAATGGCCTGAGATCGATTACTGGTGCTTCCCCTTTAAACATAAAGGCAACGGCAAGTGTTGGTGGCAGTCGCTGTCCCATTGCCAACCCTCTAATTTGCGCGTGATATTTCCCGGACCATCTGAAGATCGAGCAGTTTAAACAGACCTTCAGAAGGACCACAAGCTGCTGAATCGAAAAGCCATACATGTTAGTTGCTCCTTCGTGTTGCTCAAGAAGCTCGCGGATGGTTTGCATTACGGAGTCGTTTGACACGTTAGTGTAAAGGGCGGTAACGTCGAACGACTCCATAACGTACGCGCTTTTGGGACGTCCGTTACGCAGACGGTCTAGGAACATTTGGCTGTTCGTGAGATGGGCTGGTATGTACTTAAGCAACTGGTTGAGAATTAGGTTTATAAACCAAGCAATTCTATCTGTAGGCCCGTCTACACAACTGATGATGGGTCTCACTTTAAAAGTGGAGGGGTCGGTAGACGCCAGATCATCAGCGCGTGTTAACTTATGGGTCTTGATAAGTAAGTATAGGACGGGACATGACGGCACTTCGATCTTAAGATGCGAAATGTTTGCTGGTTTTGAACTTGCTGCGTTTGCCGTTTTGACCCATTCGTTGTTCAGTTTTCGATTTTCACTTCTGAATTCCTTTTCAGTAGATGAGCGATAAAGAGATGCGTCTTCAAGATGTTTTTCCGTTATATCGACATTTGTCTGGCGAGGAATTACTACAAACTCTCCACCCTTATCACTAACTGGTAGCCTAATAGTCTTTGATTTTTTTAGCTCTCGAACCTGTCTCATATCAGCTTTTTGCACATCTGTAAGGTTTGAACTAAACTTTTTCGCGCGATAGGGGTTAAGGACTTTGAGAGTTTCGCTCGAAAATTACGAAGTTTTATATAAATTATAAAATATATATAAAATATACGAAATTTTACATCGAATTCGCCTTTTGGGTCTTGCTGTCTAAAGAATAATCGAGGAAATGGAGGTGGCGGTACTGTCCTGCTTCTCATTGTTCCTTTTTATTTCGTGTCTCAATTCTAGCGTTGCTGCGGAGCCGACCTTGGAGCTCGTGCAGACTGCACGCGATCCTACGCAAGGTTTCCTTAGAAATGGGTTTCGCTGGTGAGAAACGTGGACCCAATTCTAATAGCGAATGCGCGTCATCAGAGAAGTTATACCTCTTAACACGGTGACCCTTAACTTTTCAGGAACGTTATCGACCACATTTTTGGTGCTAACGCTTTCGTAAACGATTTTACTTTCTTTAATTGAAGCTGCTTTTTGCTAATGGTCTAGTAAATTTTGAAATTTTCTGCTTAAGGTTACTTTAGCATTCGACCTAATAGAATCGCAAGTCAAAATTGACCCACCCAAATTTTTTTTGTTTGGTTTGTTTTGTTTTCTTCAAATTTGTTTTGTTTGATTTGTTCTCGTTCAAAGGGAATCCTCTAAATACTGAACACAATAAGATTCCTTCGACATGCACTTCTTCAATCGCGCGTACATAGTGTCCTGTTTGCATCGAAGGGCGCGTAGTAGTCGCATTTCGATGTGCAATACTAATTGGCTGTCTCTTGGTAGTACAATAATCTAATCTAATACCTTCTATCTATAATCTAATATCTTATCCAGTTGATGTCTATACCTTCAATGTCCAGGTATTTCTTCCCTTACCCAAAAGGTAGGGGCTCGTGTGACGCAGTGGTCGGAGACGCCCTGCAATACACATATGAGATCGATCCCCAGCGCCCATGGCCCACCATTCCTTCCATCCTTCCGGGGTGGGCAAATTGGTGCCAGATTTATCTGGGAAGATAGCAGCACTGGCTCGATACATCGGTAGGCCACCGCGAGTCATTGTAAAGGCCAAATGTGGATTCAATCATCTCCAAACGATGCTTAATGAAGTCGAATGCATGGCGTGTCCTTTACACGGCTCGGGCAAACCAAGCTTGTGATCACTCCGGGCCAGCAAATTGGTTATTACACTTGGTAGGGTCAAGGCGGCCAAAAAACGTCTCTACTTAAGAAAATGTAGTGATCAACTCGTACCACAATAGTCTCTCTCCCCTTTCTAACAAAGAACTTGCTAATTCGTTGAACAGTCATAGACTTAGCTCAGGATGGGTAACCAGTAACGAGGAAAAGGCGCATGCTTTCTGATTTAGATAACAAGACGAAACATGACAGGTGCTTTATAAAGTGAAAAGAAGATTATTTAACTAAATAGAGAACTCGTTTTCATGGTGGTTTTGAATGGAGATGTTCCACATAAGTCTTTATTTCCAGCACTAGCTCAAATGGACGCAAAACAGTCGGGACAAATGGGTCTCGCAACTGTACTCTACTATCTAACCACAACAGTATTGGCAACACTGGTCAGTTCGATTACTGACCAAACAATCGAAAAGTACAGTGTAACCTAATATCAAGTATAGGTTTTACTCTTCTTATTCTGCAAGTCCAACCAGTCCTCCCAACGGTTTGCCGCCACATCGTGGCTGGGAGGTATCGCTGGGTGTCGGACTGCGATGTACAGCGGGGATTCATCCCCTGGCAGGGTCTCCCAAGCTGAAAAAGGAGTCCGGCGTTTCCATCATGAAGCCTAGCTAAAAGTAAACCAATACCAGGATCCACTACCGTCCTGGTATCAAAGTCGCATGGCGAGAGACAATTCTCCCTCTTATCCACAACGACGCGACTGCCTGTGGTGGTGAAGACCTGGGGCACACTTTGCCCAGCCTCACCTTGGGATTCTAGGGAGCCACAATAGCTTAACCAGACCTGGACAGACTTTGACCAGGCTGACCTGGGCATTCCAGGAAACCACAATGGCTTAACCAGCAAACCTCCGAAAAATGGAGATTACGTTGGGGCTGGCAGAACCAGTTAGGACGGGCTATCGAAGTATCATGTAAGTAATCTGCAAGTTACTCCTGACTAAAAGTGAAACTTCCGTTGGAAAAAAGATATATGTGACAGGTTGATTTGCTCCTTTTTACTTATGTTACTAATACTTTCATTCCGTAATAAAATTGTTATGTATCTCTTCTATCTATATATTTTTAGCTCGGAATTTTTTTGGTAATGACAATTCACCCTGGCGATCCATCGATTAAGGCTGGAACCCTTCCAGATGTACCAGTCGATACAGAAGTTTCACCACTGGACACGTTTTTAGATTTGGTTAGGTATGAACATGTCGTTTCAAATGTAATAGGTTTTTATTGGGCTCTTGAAACAGACTGTTTTTTCAACAACTAACAAGTGTTCATAATCGTCATTAGTCACCACGGAGAGCTGGTTAGTGCTGAATACAGTATCATAAGGCAGAGACAGGTGCATAAAGCGGACTTGTGCTTCGAGTTTGTGCATATCGCAATTGACTGATGCATTTGGCATACCGGTAATCACTCTGAGAACATATGTATTTGTTTTGGTGGATATCATCCTGGTGATGCCTCCAAAAGCGCCAGTACAATAACAAACCGGCTGAGAAGTGTATGGAAGGTGGTTGAAAGTCAACTCCGACAAAAAGACCGATATCTACCGCAATGGCTGGAAGAATCACGTTGAGTACGTCCACCTTGCACGGAAGAGTCGAGCACACTTGCTACGAACATCTAGAAACACTGAAAACAATACATCGTTTACCTGATATGCCAAAAAAATCTCCAGACATACATCATTTTGGCCTATAAGCCCTAGAAATTCTTCAGAAATTTTGTATTATTGTCATGACGGTATTGAACGAATCGCACGAGCCAACCTGAACTCTTGGCTACGCGGTCGCATAGGAATGCGCCTAATTTTAGCTACGTGTGAATTTAACTCAATGCATACGGTGCACTTTACCATCACGCTTTTTGTGTGTCTGTTGCTGTTCTGCTTTTCCAACTACTTCTTTGCCATGCGTTTTAAAGTACTACGTGTCTTTTATGTTCGATTCTATTTTTATCCCAATATCCACCACATGAGAATGAGCTCCACGCAGCTTTGCGATAAACTAGATCAATTTCACCCATATGGGCGTTATTGGGATTTTTGAGATCACACACAAAAAAATAATGCCCTGGATTGAACTTTTTCATCTAATAATAGTTAGGGATGTGAAGGTTATTTATTCATAAGAGTCAGAAGGAAATAAGAGAAAATTGCAATTCAAACTGCTTGCTAAAAGAGTTCTACAATGTTATCATGCAGTAGGATTTTAATCTTTCTATTTCTTTTACACGACCCGTCTTCACGTATACTGTGCAGGTCCTAGCACTTCTCACATTCAATTCGTTTCCTCGCATCCATTGTACACGAAGATCTTCTAACTTCTACGTGTGGCTTCGGTTGCTACTTGAAGATTTTTCATTTCACCTTGAATATCATAGGATGCTCATCGAGCAGTTCTCTCTGGAGTCCTGAGATAGTCGGGTTGGAGTGATCCCAAATGGATTGCAGAGAGTGATTTTCTCCAGATAAGTCCAGTACCCGACCCCGGAGGGATGGGAGGCTTGGTTGGCCCGGAGCGGAATCGAACTAGCACCGTGCTTGTGATGACGGACACCACTACCACTGTGCTATCTGTCCCCTATCTTCCTATTTACTAATTCTAAATACCGATGCTAAAACTTTAGACACGTTGCTTCATTTCCGTGACTTCCAACAATCACTATAACCTCTTTTGGTGCAGATTCCGTTGTAAAAAAAAGTCTTTAGAAAGTTTATCTATTGCAATCTCCTTCGTTAAATGTAGCTTGTTTTTGTGTAGGATGGGCTTTTCATCCAACTTTTTTCATCTATAAGCCAACACGAGGTTGCCAACGCGTATTCATTTGGCAAACGTTTCGACGTCCTCGTTTTCCTCAAAGTCTATGATATCAGTCGTTAAAATTTCTATTGCTTTATTTTATACAACGCGTCATTTAAATCTGCTGTGCTGATCCCAGCACTTCTCACACTCTATTAGTTTCCTCGCATCCATCATCCACGACGATTTTATAAGTTTTGCATGTGTACTTCGCTGTTGCTTAAGAATTTCCCTTTCTTCATGGATCTCATTGAATATTTGCCGAGTCGTTCCTCTGTGGAGTCCTGAGATAGTCAGGGCAGTGCGTTCCCTTTTGGATTGCAGACAGCGAAGTTTATTCAGACAAGTCTGACACCAATTTCCCTACCCCGGAGGAACGAGAGAATTAGTAAGCCCAGAACGGAATCGGAGTATTTCAGTGCGTTGTAAAAAGGAAACTTCTTGTAGCGTAAAAGAAGCACACAAAGTACTTCATAACAATATGTTTCCTGTTCGCTCAATCCATATGGTACCCATTCATCGTGCCTTCTCATCTTTCGTTGTTTACTTGAAGATGCGGAAAGTCCGTCACCATTGATAGTGCGAACTCTAGCACATCTTACATTCGTCTATTTACTTCGCTATCGTCGTCTGTGATAGTGATGTCACTCGAATTAAAGGATGTGTACAAAAACGATTTTGCCATCTGATAAGCATCGGTAGCTTCATTTTTGTAAATCTTATAAATAGATGGAGCAAGCCCATGTCTCAATTGCGCAGGAGAGGGCAAAGATGACTTTGAGTCGAGAAGAAAACGACACATTCATATTCCAATGCCGAGGTTAAGAGAAAGTCGATCCTGGGAACGTGGAGTTTCCGATCTGTCGGTTAACGAGTGGTTTCTTTGAAGGCTTCATATTTTGTTGTTTTCCCATACAATTTCTTCTTCACTTCGTTTTGAATATTTGTAGACCTCCATAGATAAATAAAGGAGGTAGCGATGTAGTTGTTTGTATTTAAAGAACTGTCAATTTCCATCGAATATGTTGCGGATTGGAGACCCCTGTTTTCAGTCTTTATGGACTTGTTAGTTTTTCGAAAACAAACGATAATTTTTTGATACCTGGATTATGGGTTGCTAACACGAATGGGATGTAGAAAAAACGCGAACTATCACTATGTTAGTATGAGTGATATTTATATTACTATTTACTATATGTTACTGCGGTCCATAGAGGCGCGTTTCGCGTAGTGCTAGGAGGCGCATTGAAACACACACCTGGGGTCGACCCCCACGCCTATGGCCCATCATTCTTTCCCTCCCTCTGGGGTGGGCAAATTGGTACCAGACTTGTCTGGGAGTATAGCACCACTGGTTCGATACATCGGTAGGCCACCGCGAGTCATCGTAAAGGCTAGATGTGCATTCAATCACCTCCAAACGTTGCTTAAGGAAGTCGAATACATGGTGCATTTCTCAAAGATTGATCAACGCGGAGAGCTTTATCTTTTTCTTATTCTACTATGGTCTATAATGCAAACACATTGGTGTTAGCATTTGGAAGTGTTTTGCAAATTATGGGTCTCGATTTCAGTAGTTTTAATATCTATTCGCTCTATACGATAGCCGCTGTTCATTATAGCAACTAGAATTGAAATAGCACTCGATTAGTACCGTAATTTCTGACTACTGACTTTATTTCGAAAAAGGTTTTTGTATATTTCTGAGAGCAGAATGGAGCCTTTACCGAACAACGCCCAACACGACATCTGTTTTCTACGAGCTGTCAATATGTAACAAAAAGTGTAAGAAAATAGTATTGCATGCTAAAATAAACGACAGGAAAGAAAAGGAGACCTATAGATGTCTTACCGGCCACTCCGACAAGCCCATTATGGCAACTACGGGCGTCACTCGTTGCAAGAGTGTGAAACTGTGTTTATTCCTACTCGTGCGCAATCCTATCATTTTCCGTCATCGTCGAGCTTCTTGAGCACCGTTTCTGCCTTACTGTCACACCCAAGAGGAACATGATGTAGTCGGAGGAGCAGTTTTCTTTGTCATGGTGTCGCCCTTTCGAACAACTTTTCCTGTAGGGTTGGTCAGATAAAGAAGCTGTTTCATGCATACTGGTAAAGGCTAGTTAAAATTCTTGTGTGCAATTTTTTGCTTTGTAATGTCTTTCAGGTAGAAACGGATCACTGGCCGATTAAAGTTGAGTTCCTCTGAAAATTCTCGAGTAGGTATTAGAGGGTGGGTCTCATTATGTCCTTCAAATGGTTGGTTCTCCACAGTTGGGTGCGTGAAGCCCTCATCTATGGCCTCGAAAGCAATCTTTAGCTCCATGCTCTTGGGTTGCATTTCATCCTCTGAAAAGTAGTGAACCAACGAAACAAAATAACGCTAAGAGCTTTTGCCTTGAGAGTTCGGTCCAATTTAGTTTAAATTCGTTGCAAACAGTGTATTAGAAAAATTTTACATGTAAAATAAACGAATGAGAAGTACTCTTTAAAATGGCATCTAGATTAAATGGCATGTAATTAATGCAAAATATGTTTCTTGAATGCATAACGATAAGAATGGCCGTTGTTTTTAATCAGTTTAGTGTTCTGTAATCTGCACGGCTAGTCATCACATAGTGCGCACATCCTAGCACTTTCTTCATTAAATTAATGTTCGTTCTCTCGTATCCGTCCTCTACGTAGATCTTCATATGTTTTGCGTGTGAGTATAGATCCCTTCAGTTAAATTTCTCAGGAATCTTGGTGTAGGTCCACTAATGCATTCTCATGTCTCCGCAGGCAGTCGCCGACCTTTAAAGGTAAGACAGAGAATTTCCAGACAATTCTGATACCGATTTACCTACCCGGTTTGGATGGGAAGCTTGCTTGTTTGACCCCGATCAGGGCTAACCAACGACCATGCGTGTATAATTAAATAGCAATATCTAACCACTGCACTTCACGTGCACCTCTTTGACTGAAGTAAATACTACTATGTAAAGTTAAGTTAAGGTATAAACCTATAATGTAATACTTAAGTAGTGATTATTCCAGAAACATGTTCCCGGAAAACATCATCCAAGCGACATTCGAGCGTGTTCATACCATGTACGTTGTCCAGAAGCCACGAATCTCAAAAAACACCTCCGACGACGGCGTCATTATGAAAAAAGCCATCAGTACCACACACGGCATGAATATCCTTGGTGAGGCTGATGATAAACTAATCCGTCGTAGAAAGGCACTTCCATTGTCCACTCATATTCCTCTACAAAGTAAAAATTTTAAAACCGTCAGGATGTAGTATACAGTAGTATTTAATAATCCACTCAGTGGTTTATCGTCTCATCGTGACTCAAGGCGAGGATACTCATGGGTGGCGAACTGTGACAACGCCTGGTTTAATCCCTTTCCACAGCAAAGACACCTAGGATGAAAAGCAGTTCTACATTCGGTAGGTCAGCTAGGAATAAACCTGTGCGGCGTCAGAACACAGCGAATTAAGTGTAGATGCATGTTCGCCAGAACATCACAACTGATCGTTCTCTTACCAGTGAACTAGAGCTCACTTAGTACACCACGCACCAGTGCGGTAAGACGAACGAATGGGGACCTTTCTGGTGCCCACGTAGTTACTCGATGCTTACCTCAGAGTTGTTCATAATAAATGCGAATAGTAACCGTATCGACAAGACAATGATAATAAAATGTAGTAGTACTTCAGCGAAAGCCTCATTCTCCTTCAGGCAAAACTGTGAGATTAATAAGAAGCCATGACATTGTTTGTGTTTTAGGAATAATTGTTTTTTGCACGGGATTCGGTATTGTGATATCCCAACTCGGCGAGAGAGCTCGAATAGTTGTCGATTTTTTCGTGATTCTTGACGCCGTCATTATGCGATGGGTGGAGACACTAATGTGGTAAGGTCACCAAAGAATATGTCCAGTAGGATTCAAACAACTTGTTTTCGGTTCGCTCCGCTCGGAATCACTTGTCTAGTTTGTGGCAATTTGCTCGAACTCAACGATATCTCCGACACTGCCAGTGTTTTGTTACTGTAAGTGTATCACTTGGTTTATCAATTCTATATCAAGTGCTATTCATTGGATTTACATCATTCATTTGAAATGACTTTAAAAATAGTCTTGTGAAGAAGACATTATCACAAATGGTGGACGAACATTCACAGAAAACATAGGAGTCACTGGATCTTCACTATATTCAGCCATTTCGGTACTGACCAATTAATCTAAGGAGATCCTTCCATTATTTCTTCCTAAGTATCCACAATTTTAGCATAGTTCGACTTTCAGCTACGTGTTCACGGTACTCGCAGGACTAATTCTGCATGCAGTGATCACATGTCCTGCCCTGTATTTCTTGATCACAAGAAAGAATCCGATGTTTATCGTACGCGGTATGATGCAGGCAATTGTGACTGCTTTTGGAACAGCATCTGGGTAGGTGTTTGATCGCTTTACTTCTCTCCTTCGTAGAACATCGTAAGTCTCCATCTTTGTAGTGGTGCAGCACTTCCGATGTCGATGCAGTGCATGGAAGATAATTGTCATGTGGATCGGAGGATAACTCGATTCGTATTGCCACTAGGATCCACTATTAATATGGTTTGTAGAGCAATACAAGGAGAGAGGGACGTGTATGGGTGCCCTGCAACACACACGTGGTTTCTGGTTCCACTCCACGTCTCTGGTTCACCAAGCTTTCCATCCCTCCAGGATCGGCAAATTAGTATCAGACTTGTCTGGGAGGGTAGCAGCACTGTTTTCATACACCACTGGGCTACTGGAAATCATTACACAGGCCACTTATGCTCTCAATTACCTCCAGAGATAGTAAAGTTGAATGAATGGCGCTTTTCTCGGGGATTGATCATTGCCGAATGCTCTCTATCCTTTGTTGGGAGATAAGAGCAGAATTGATACGTTCTGGGTGCCACATTATGGGACAAATAAAGCAGCGTTAAAGTTCGGACGGAAACAAGTTCTTTCGTATATGATCAATCAGGAGAAGCATGAGTGCTTCAAATAGCATTTCTTCGAACCTGTGAACGTTTTCAGGATGGAAACGCTCTCTATGAGGCGGTCGCCGTGATCTTTATCGCTCAGTTAAACAGCGTCGATCTTTCACTTGCTGAGGTTATCACAGTGAGGTAAAACTATCTCTTATTCACATTTCTCAAATTAGTGGCAATTCTTATTTTAGTGTTACCGCTACGGTGGCATCTATAGGACTTGGTTCAGTTCCAGCAGGTCTCGTTTCCATACTACTTATTCTCAACACTGTCGGTCTTCCTATTAAGGATGTGTCACTGTTGTTGACAGTAGACTGGTTATTGTGAGTAGAATCAATTTTTTACGCGTGCTCGTTGCGTACAATTGCCTCAAATATTGCATATTACGCGTGTAGCGCAGTTGTTAAATATGCACTGCAACGCACGCGTGATTCTTGGTTCGATTCTTGGCCCAGCGCACAACAAGGGTTTCTTCTATCTGGGGTCTGAAAATTAATAGGAAGCAGGTCTAAAGCTATAAGCACCGATCTTATTCGTCGATAAGCCATCCTAATTCAGTTTATAGACCAAATACGCATTAAATCACTTTTAACGATGCTTGGTGAAACCGAATGCATTCCACAGTAGTTGATCAAATCCCTAAAGCTTTATTCTTTGTCCTTTTATTCCACAACATTGACATTTTTATAAGAACATTATCTTGCAACTTTTTTTAGAGACCGAGTACGAACGTCGATCAATGTACTAGGGGACGGCTTTGCTGCTGGTGTGGTCGCACATATTCTCCAGGTTCAGACTTATGGAAGAAATTAGAATGAAACAACAGAAAAAATCGCTGTGCCTCTAACTTCTTGCAGCTTGCAGATAACTTGCCGTTTTTTAACTAAGTACTTTGTTGTCCGCTGATTTTCATCCTTTAGAAACGGCTTCAGATTGCCGACGCGAGAAATGATTATCGAATTGAAGTCAAAGAAGAAATCGGTAAATTGACCATATACGAGTTAGTTGCGGCTATTTAAAATTCCTAGATACTTTAAAATAATTTTCTCAGAGCTACTAAAATCAGCTTCGAGCAGTCGACGGCCATCGTTCACATGGTCCGATCAGTCTAAAGAGGTAATTTTCACGATATGAGTGCTGACAATTTCCAAGAGCATTGCACTATGTTTTAACTTATTATTTACTGCCTACTCTTTTTAATGGCAGAGATCGATACTAGCTGAGAGACAGGCGTAACGAAGAACCCGCATGGTGTGGTGGTGAACGCGTTACCCCCCGGAAAGGACAATAGCGCGTTTGTTCCCCACCGCATACACCTGCGGTCCGGAGTATTGCAAGTATCTCAGCAACATTGAAGCCATGCACTATGTGTCTCTACTTTTTGTTTTTGTTACCGATAAGCAATCAATATTCAGAAAATATCTCTACTTTACAGGTGTATTTTAACGCCATGGCAACAAACACGAATTCACGAAATCAATCTCGAAGTGGCTCGATTACGAACTGTCACCTATCCTGGCGAAATTCACTATTGGAACCGCGCTATGCTTCCCTAAACAAGGTGCTAGACGTTTAATATGTGCCAGTTTGGAGCTACCAGGAAGATTAGAGCCTTACCGTAACTGTGTTCATAAAGACTACTGTTGTTGGCTACAGTGTTACATTTATAATTGACACCTTCTATAAAAAGTTAATATCTTGCGTCTCTCCCTTTTGACTATTCGTTTATTTTCCCTACACAACATCCTAACTTGCGTGCATAGTGGCAACCGAAGAGTTTTAATAATCATGCGAACAAGTTCATCTCTTTGGTAAATAAAGATAAATACAACATAGTTATTCTTTTATCTGCAGTGTTCGTGTGTTATGAAATTCTCGCGGAAAAGTGTAAATAGGTAGAAGTGGGAAGCATTTGGATTATTATCGCTTAAAGATTGTTAAAATAGGCAACGCAAGGGGCTCAGTAACGCAATGGGTAACACGTGGGCCTCCAAAAACGGTGGTCACGGGTTCGAATCTGGCCTGGTGTCTGAGTCTTTCCAGAGCCTCAGCATCGTTGTGGTTCTAATGTTAAAATAGTTGGGACCACAAATCATCAAATGTGACAGAAATTGAAGCGTGACTAATCTGTAATGGTGTCTATTTATTTTAGTACTATAGAAGGCACTAAATGGAAAGCAAAACAAGGTTTTTTTGTGGAATACATGTCCAAGTGGGTAAATTACCGGAAGATTGAAAAGTGAACAAAACTGAAATGAAAATACACACAGACACAGACGCAGACGCAGACGCAGACGCAGACGCGGACGCAGACGCAGACGCGGACGCAGACGCAGACGCAGACGCAGACACAGACACACAGACACAGGCATAGACAAACAAACACACACACACACACACACACACACATACAAACACACTTTTTGTGGATGCGAAAAACTTCCAGATGGAAAATCACATGGACAAACGAACTATTGGCTACTTCAATGACTAGATCCGTCATAGGAATGTCATTAGCTGAGACATTTGTTTCTGGAAACTAACCGACATGGTAGATTAAAGCTGTGTAGGGCGCATGGAACTTGTTATAGTAACTATTCCTTAAATAGTTCCTATTCTCTACAATATCACACGTGTCCTATACTAACTATTTACTTATAACTATCTTAAATCTATCCATTCATAATCTATAAGCTTTTATGCCGTTTCAGCATGTAGTTTCTATAAAAGCCTCTGGCATACCGCCTCACTTGATGTACTTCTCCGCATGTACCGTGTCTTGCCCCGGGTTAGCACTAGCTTTAGTGCCCTTTGGCAAAGCTCCACCCACTACAGAAGTAATGCAGGCAGCCTATCGGCATTCGTCCTCAGGTGTTCGCAGCGTCCGTTAGGTCTTCATCCACTCCCTCAATTTCTCAGTGCTCCAACTTTAGTGTCCGCCTAGCTTCCTTCAGTTGTATCACTTGTTCTCATTTCAATCTCGCTCGTATATATCCAGCTAACCACATATCGTCACATATCACATATTATTGTACCGTTGTTATTACCATAAACTGTTATAATCCAAACTCGAGGTTGTCCACGGCAGTTACGGAAAAAAGTCCTGCGTGGCGAATTCATAGAAAGTCGAGCATTCCACGTACAAGTAATTCTTCGTATTTTTGTTGAGCAAACGCGAGGTGTTATTATTCTTTATTCACGAATAAGCTGACTTTTCGGCGGATTTCGCCTTCCTCAGAGCCTGCCCACTATTCTCCTCCAAAGGCGGTCCTCCAAATACTGAGCACAAAAGTTTTCCTTCGTCTCGCACTTCTTCCACTTGGCGAACATCTGGTTTTGTCGGCTTCGTAGACAGGTGCGTAGTATTCGTAATTCGATGTCCAATAGTCGGTGACTGTACTCTGGTAGTCCGCATACGTCGTGTAGTCGTCTTCGTTTGATGAAGTTCGGAACTCTGGGCAGTCTCTGAGGAAGGCGAAATCCGCCGAAACGTCAGCTTATTCGTGAATAAAGAATAATAACATCTCGCGTTTGCTCAACAAAAACGAAGAATTACTTGATCAATGCCGAGGTTAATAGGAAGTCGGTCGCGGGAGTTACTCCACGTACAGTTGGCGGACAAAAGACGAGTCCGACCAACTCCCTAATCCACTGGCCCATTAGCACACTTGTAACTTATATTTTGCCTTGAAAAGCCTGGTCTACGACAAGAAGTATTTTATGAAGGGAAAGTAGCAGCAGTGTGAAGTTTAGGAGTATTGCATGAACATCTGTGGTATTGGCTAAAACTTCGCTAATTACAAGATCAAAATGCTTGTCATCATAACCATCTCTTCTCAACATATTGGCTTACAAAGCCATTTATAAAGGTGCTTAATTTGTGTAGATTCAGCTGTGGCTTGTAAATTCGTGACCTTCTCTTACCATTGAAATGTCGAATGTTGATCGAATATGGTTTTCTCCGTTATCCTGAAATAAATTTGTAGTTAAAGAAGGGGATTCTGATGAGTAACACTTAATTCAAAATGTGGCACCAAGTCGAATGCGTTGGCTAGTTCGATTCAATGGAGTTCTTTTCATACGTCAGGCCGGACTTCTATTGAACTTTACGATTGTGAACATTTAAGTGACCATAGAAAGAAATCTGAGTGCTTTAAACGTCGAGCAGAATGGATCTGTTTATCCCAATGCTAAGCAAATTCCCAGTTAATAATAAGAAAAAAATCCTAGCTGATCTTCAGTTATCAGAAATGGAAGGTATACAAAAACTTATTTATGTACAATTTACAACGGAACAGAAATACACAGGTGTTCTTGATTTTTAACATTCTTTTCATCCATTTGGTTCCTGTAATGTCACACCAAACTATGATAGAATCTAACTAGCCACTTCGTGTTGGAAACCTTCGAACTTGTTTGTACCAAGATTTCAGAGAGGACTGCGAAAGATGGAGGACGACCCATGACCGGGCACCCACTCCATGGCCAACTGGGTCCAGGTCTGTACAAAGTATTGTCCCAGGGATAAAGGGAAAGGAGAGCATTTCACCGCTTCAGAGTGACTCATATGGTCGTGGAAGCATCGCTACTTCGTCGGAAAGTCGAAGCCTTATTTTCGTCCACACCGTCTCGTCCATCGGAAATACCTATCTCCTTCAAATGATCATCCGAATCTACACGAACTAGGACTCCGGATGGGAATACCCGCTGGATGGTGCAGGTACTCGTGGGCGCATCGTGTTTTCGTCGGCGAGACGAGGTTCCATGCTCTTCGGCAAGGCCTAGGGTCATCGATGGTGACCGCGATGGTCTCACTCTCCTCGAGCTGCTTGCTGTTCGTGGATGGGGCGCTCCGAGCGGCTCAGGTGGGTAATGGGTACATCACTCTCTCGTCGGAAACACGGACCCAGTTATCATCACAGCCTGGGCGAGCACTCGCAAGTATTTCGCCGAACCAATGCAGCACCGTATTAAACACCAGTTTACGAAACCTGTTTGGTATGTGAAAATTTTATTTTTTCTTTTACAACGTGATTAATGTAATGTTGTGTTTCCCATAGTGCCTTCGTTTTACCACTGCATATTTTTCTAATAAAAACGATTCCTATTTTATTACACTTGTTAGTATCATATAAGATGGAATTTTGGCTAGTTTTACACCATTTCGAAATTTTGCGAATTAAAATTTCGCATGAACATATCAAAGGACAGATAATGTTAGAATAGATTACCTATATAACTCAACATCACAAATTTAGTGGATCCTGGAAATTCCTGCATCATCCCCTTGCTTCTGTACTGGACGAAGATCGTTGGATTTTGAGTGT